CGCTGCCCTGCGGGGTGAGCCCCTCGCTGCGGTGCGTGTGCGCAGGCCTCCCTTCTCCGGGCTGCTGCTCTGCTAAATTCGGGAGGAAGTCCATCTTCTCTTCGTATTTAGTAAGAGGGCTGGGATCTGTCATGTCTCACCACTGCAAAACTCCGAGGTCTCACACGCAGAGGCAACTGCCGTAGCCATTCTTGTCGCTCTGACAACAGCCAGGACTGTCAGTCCTCAGGCAAACGAGCAGCAAAGCAAAATATAACAAGAGATCCAGAGCTGCTACTTGAGCCATACTGGAGGACTTGGTACCAATCTTTATTCCTGTGGCTCCGATACAGGGAATGCTCTGTCCCTCTGACTGCATTTTACAATCCATATGTGCTGCACAACATGCTAACATACAAACACTCAGCCTAGCACCTTGGCTCCCCTAAATATGGATAACCCACCTATGAACAGCTACCTTAACAACAGGGCAAAAGCACTACTTAAATTATTATATCCCCTCTACCTAGATCATGATTCAAAAATACCAGAGCTTCTTGCAAGGTTTAACTAATTTTCTGTTTAAATATTCTGGTTTTAGCCTAAACAAAACATATATGGGATTTTGCCTCATATGCCAAAAATCTCAGATTCTTAACCTGAATATAAATCCCACACTCAGGCATCAGAATCCAGAAGAACAATCTAGACTTGGCCATTATTTTAATGGTACAATTTGGAGGCAAGAGCATAGGATTAGCAGGGTCCTGACTGAACGTACTTCTTCAAGCTCCAAAACCTGTGTCTTGTCTTGTGAGGAGACAGCCATTGAACCACTGCTAAACTGCAAGAGAACAAACTATACGTAAGTACTATATACACTTGAAAAGACAAGACCCACCATCACAGGCTGGAGTTTAGATTGCATTTGTAGAAATATTGCATATTTAATTGCTGTGAGAGGAGTTAGGCAAGCATCAAACTCTGTCACCTTCAGCTGTTCATGCGCTTTAGGTGTCTGAGAGTGAAAGAAGAGGTCCTAACACAGGACCTTAATGGTTTCTAGGTTAAAACTTTAGCTGGTTTGTATTTTCTCACACTTCTCGCAGTTCACAGAAGCAGAACATGTGACTACATATGAGGGAAAGTGGCATTATAGTTAAAGCAGAATTGTTCCCTTTTCATCTTTTATGTTTTAAGTGGTACCTGACATCTCGTATCATTAAAAATCAAGGCACAGCATAAAAGTTCCTAAGCTACTATATTTATGTAGGAGGGTGGAGAAAGCACAGATTTTCAAGTACCCACATGGGTGTAGGAAGGTGTTTCTGCAAAGACAGTATCCTTATTATGTCAGATTGTTATAAATGTTAAAGTCTGCTAAGGTGCAACGATTTTAATGCTCAGAGTATATTTTACCAGGACTATAGAAACCAGTGGTGATAAGCAGGGAACTGCATAGTGACAGATATAATTAATACATTTAATACTGGCATATCAGGATAGAGCTCATGTGACAGAAATAACATTTCCATAAACAGCTTGTTTTATGTAACATTTCCACTCCAGTCATAACAAGCTGTCAGAAAGATGGGGGGAGGGGGAAGAGACCTTGTGAAAATGTGTCCTAGATGAAGATCACTTCATGTGACAGTTATTAAAAAGGGGATATAAAACTGGAGTCCAATGGTAGGAGAGGAAGTGCTCTGGTGCCTGCTTTCTAATCTGCAGATTTCAAAGAGGTGAAGAGCTAAGCAAAACCTCAGCCAAAGCTAATAGAACTGCCCAGGAGGAGCTACGTGAGTTATCTCTGGTTTGCACCCTTTCAAATAAAGACAGGAAGGAAATGTAATATTCTAATCATTATATTTTAAAATGAAAAGATACAGTCTTTGTCCCTGTAATCACTTTAGTTTACTTGTACTATGGTGCTGCATCATCATTATGTGCTGATCCAGGCAATTAACATTACACATGGGACTATTCATGCATACATTTCAGCACATGCTTACATCTTTGCAGCATTAGGGCACTCTTTTCCAGGGTTATTTAACTGCTTACTGTCTCAACTGGCTGGTTTTGAAATGATTTATTTCTGATTCCCATAACAAAAGGATTATGATGAAAGGGGAGAAAAAAATTGAAAATCATTCAATGTGCAGGCAAGTTTTCATTATGACTGCAGAAGGTTAAATACTGAAATCCCATCTCCAAAATAGAATTAACTGGAGTCATGAGGGCTTTGAATTTTTTTTATCTAAACTGTTGGATTCATGAACAAACGTCATCAGTCTTACTCTTCTTGACTTCATTGAAAAAAACCCTTCTATTTTATCATTGGAGACTTAAAAAATGGTCCATAACTAAAAAAATCTAGTCACACAGTGGGATGAGGGGTAATTGGATGACAGTACTGGCAATGAAAAAACAGAAATCAGACTACACAGATTCGTTTATACTAAGTCCCTCAGATGACCAAAAGGGGAAACACTATGGAGATTATAGCCTCTCCATTGGAAATGACCAGTTTTATGTAATACTTTCAAGCATGTGTCAATAGCTGAATGCATCCTGTTAGAGTGGCTGAATTTATTTATTCCCTAATTCCATCTGTCTCTAAAAGAATACTATGAAGAGATTATTGTGATAAGAACTGGGCCATAGCATTAAATCAGAATTCAGGCCATGCAATCCAATTCAGCCTAGGTAGACTATCTATAAAAATGAAACTGTACAGCCATCCTATGGCTGCTTAGAAGATGGGAAATAAAGCAGTTCCAAGGGGGAGCTATTCACCCCCTAAATGTTGGTGTTACTAATATGCAGGTATAAGGTCGTAGTCTTCAGCAAATAAACAGAAATTTAAGTGGTCTTGGAAGCTGGATTACTCTTTTATTTCATGGATTTTCTTTTCTGCCAGTCCGAAGGACTACCAGTTGAGCTATCCTGAAATTAATGACATAGACTAAATGACTTCTATCACTATGTTCTTTAGGAAACTGAAAAATTCAACCTCAAGGGCAGCTTGAAAATCCTCTTCTTTTCATAAGCACCTTCTACGTTCATCTTACTTTGCAGATTTCATCTCTTTATAATGTTATGTCACCTGAATCTCTTCAAAAGTTTGACTTAAGCAAAAGTAATGGAGAGCAGCAATCCCCCAATGGCTTTTAAGTGTCTAGGGTGATAGTGCCTCGGGTTCTACAAAGAGATGCCCATCGATTCAGATCTAAAACCAGCTGTATCAATTGCATCCTCTCTATAGAAATGCGTACCAAACAGCTCTTAGAACATTTTTATTTTTTTATTATTTTTTTTTTGCTACACAAACAACTCTTAGTACACTTTACTCCTTGCTTTATTCGTTATCTAAATTAGAATGCACTGATGTTCTAAAATGGGAAGCAAAACCCATCAGAATCTTGCGTGGGGGAAGATAAGGGGCTGCCATTGATTTTGTCAGTTTAAAATTCAATACTCAGACAAACTTTCTGCTGAATTAGTAGCTCAGCCCCAGCAAAGCTAGGATCTGTGGCACTTACATGGCTGTTAAGATTGCTAGGTCACATTTGTTTTTCTTGGATCAAGTCATTAAGGTATTGGCTTATAACATTCAAAGTATCTAATGATGTATTTTAAAACTACTTGGCACATGTTTTCATTCATGACAAGTAAGAGGAGCCGTGACAGTTGTTGATGTTGCATTGAAAATTTCACATGTTTTCAAGTTGGGTACTGAAAAATGGATCGATTCTATATAGCTGAAGTTAAAAGTGAGTATAAATTACTTTTTCTTGGCATTTTTCTTCACTACCTCCTTTTTCTACTACTACAAGAAACTCTGTTCCCCTCAAGGCACCTTTTAGTAGCTTGAGAAGGATCCTGCTTCAGTTGAAGAGATTAGAAACCTGTGCACAAATTCTGAATCTCCTGCAACTCATCAAAACAATAATTAAGGAGTGGATATGAAATTCCTTACCCCCATGTTACATGCAAGGATATGAGCATGTGAGTGACAAGTTCTTTAACGTGATTTGCCTAACATTGTACATGAAGTTTGTAGCTGAACCAAGAAGGTGTCTTTATTCCAACATGAATGTCCTGTTAAATAAACACTCTTTCTACATTATTATGGTTCCAGTGGAAACTGCAAGAAAGGATGATCTTCAGAAAAGACTGTTTTCCCAGGAACTCTGATTCCTTTGCTCTGCAGCAGATAATTCCCTGCCAGTGAAGACCCTTGGTTGCATCTGCAGCTCCTTGTTTGCTCAGCAGCTCTGTTCCTGATTATAAAATACAGCACTCAAATGCCTAATTAA